AGGGAAAATTATACCCAATAATAAAGATAAGATATTATAATAATAAGGAGCTGATGAACTTCTTGAGGAAAAATCCAGAGAAATTGGAATACAAGGGTGTTCAATTGCAAGTATTTAATGATTTATGCCCCCAAACAAAATTATGGAGGCAAACAATGAAAGTATGTATTATTCTCTTCTTGAAGAAAGGAATTAAGTATTCTTGGGAATATCCAGTCTGTCTGAGATTTCAGTGGGCCGGAAGGAGATATAAGAGCCAACTACTAAGGAAACTGAGAATCCACAAAGATAGAAATGAAGAGACCGAATTCATCAAAGAAGCATCCCAAGGAGGAAAAGAAACATTAGAAGTGATATAGGAAGAGTAAAAATAGGAATTATCTGAAGAAGATAAGGCAGGGATGGTGAATGGAGAAGAAGAAAAGAGAAATAGAAGAATCAATGAATTAAGTTAAAGAGGAAGTAAATCTATCTTCTATCTATATATATAAAAATGCTCATGTCGTAATGAGTGGCTTAAAAACAAAAGAACTGCTGGGCCAATATCCACCAAATTTGGCAACAAAACTCCTCACCATACAAGGTGTGACCATCAATAATAAAAAATAAAATAAAACTGAAAACAACTTAGAAATCCTTAATAAAAGGAGAAGCCATTACAGCGCATGCGTGCAGCTGTGGGGGGAGCGCACATGCATGTAAGAGAGCTCCTCCATCGTCTCGCGGCGGAACTTGTGGCGGCAAGGGCTGCTGGGCCTCCCGGAGCCAGCCACAGCTCCACCAAAATTTAAAATCTGAAACACCAGCCTGACCGATGGAGACAGAGGGGCCTCTTCGAGCGAGGGAGCAGAAGCAGGAGGCGCCTTCTCCACTCCGTCGCCGTGCTGCTGGTGCTGAGCCTGCCATAGCAACTGCGCCTGGGAGAGGCCTCCCCGCCTTTCCCAGGAGGAGTTGCAGGCAGAGAGGACTCCTGCTTCTGACCCCTCCGTCGCCAGAGATTTGGCCCTCACCACACAGCCGTTTTGGGCCTGGGCATCCTCCCTCCCTCCGTTCCCCCCAAGAGGTCTCCCAGAGGCCCTGCACCAAGCCCCGCCCGGCCTTCCGATGCAGCACGCCTCTCTTCCCGAGCCCCGCCGCCTTCCTGGCCAGGCACGGCTCTTTCCCCCCCCCCCCCCGCTTCCCCATAGCTCATGGGGCAGCCACAGTGCTCTGATCCTTCCTTCCCTTATCTTCTGTTTTTCCTCCCTCCCCTCCCCTCCTCCTTCCCTCCCTCCCTCCCCTCCCCCCTCCCCTCCCCTCCCCCTTCCTTCCTTCCTTCCTTCCTTCCTTCCTTCCTTCCTTCCTCTCCTTCCTTCCTTCCTTCCTTCCTTCCTTTCCTTTCCCTTCTCCTTCTCCTCCTTCCCTTCCCTTCCCCCTTCCCTTCCCTTCCTTCCTTCCCTTCCCTTCTCTTCCTTCCCTTCCTTCCTTCCTTCCTTCCTTCCTTCCTTCCCCTTCTTCTTCCCTTCCTCTTCTTTCCTTCCTTCCTTTCCTTCCTTCTTTCCTTCCTCCTTCTCCTTCCCTTCCTTCCCTCCCTTCCCTTCCCTTCCCTTCCCTTCCCTCCCTTCCCTTCCCTCCTTCCCTTCCTTCCTTCTCTTCCATCCTTCCCTTCCTTCCCTTCCTTCCTTCCTTCCTTCCTTCCTTCCCTCCCTTCCCTTCCCTTCCTTCCCTTCCTTCCTTCCTCCCTCCTTCCCTTCCCTTCCCTTCCCTTCCCTTCCCTTCCCTTCCCTTCCCTTCCCTTCCCTTCCCTTCTCCTTCCCCTTCTCTCCCTTCCCTTCCTTCCCTTCCTTCCTTCCTTTCCTTCCCTTCCTTCCCTTCCCTCCTTCCTCCTTTCCTTCCCTCCCTCCTCCCTTCCCTTCCCTTCCCTTCCCTTCTTCCCCTTCCTTCCCTTCCCTTCCTTCCCTTCCCTTCCCTTCTCCTTCCCTTCCCTTCCCTCCCCTTCCCTTCCCTTTCCCTTTCCCTTCCCTTCCCTTCCCTTCTTCCCTTCCCTTCCCTCCCTCTCCTCCCTCCCCTCTCCCTTCCTTCCTTCCTTTCCTTCCTTCCTTCCTTCCTTCCTTCCTCCTTCCTTCCTTCCTTCCCTCCTTTCCCTTCCCTTCCCTTCCCTTCCTCCCTTCCTTCCCTTCCCTTCCCTTCCCTTCCCTTCCCCTTCCCTTCCCTTCCCTTCCTTCCCTTCCCTTCCCTTCCTTCCCTTCCCTTCCCTTCCCTCCCTTCCCTTCCCTTCCCTTCCCTTCCCTCCTTCCCTTCCCTCCCTTCCTCCCTCCCTTCCTTCCCTTCCTTCCTTCCCTTCCTTCCTTCCTCCCTTCCTTCCCTCCCTCCCTTCCCTTCCCTTCCCTCCTTCCCTTCCCTTCCCTTCCCTTCCTTCCTCCTTCCCTTCCTTCCCTTCCTCCCTTCCCTTCCCTTCCCTTCCCTTCCCTCCTTCCCTTCCCTTCCCTTCCTTCCCTTCCCTGCCCTTCTTTCCCCTTCTGTCCTACCTTTCCTTTCCATTCTTCCCTTCTTCACCTTATCTTCTGTCCTTCCTTTCCTTCTTTGTTATCTTCTGCCCGTTCTTTCCTTCCTTCCCTTCTTCCCCTTCTGTTTCTCCTCCCTCCTACCCTTCCCCTTCCTTCCTTCCTTCCTTCCTTCCTTCCTTCCTTCCGTTTCCTTCTTCCCCTTATCTTCTGTCTTTCCCTCCCTTCTTTCCCCTTCTGTCCTACGTGGGGTGAAAGAGCGAAGGGCCCGCCCCCCCCCCCCACAAGCAACTCCCAAATGTCAAGGTCTTCCTCAAACTCCACTGTGTTCAAATTTTGCCATCTTTCTGTTGGTTCACAGTGTTCTCCAGATGTAAGTGGACTGCTATTACTATTGTTGTTGTTGTTGTTCTTATTCTTATTATTAACCTAAAGCTGGCTATCTCTCAGGAGTGGTTAGATTGTGCTTCTCCCATTTCCCAAAAGGGGCTGGTCTGGATGGCCCCTTCAGGTCTCTTCTATAGTAGGATTCTTCTATTACTACTACTACTACTACTACTACTACTACTACTATTATTATTATTATTATTAGTAGTAGTAGTGTTATACTGAGGCTGAATGGCCATCTCTCAGGAGTGGTTTGATTGTGCTTTTCCCTTATGCCAGAAGGGGCTGGACTAGATGGCCCTTGGAGGTCTCTTCCATAAAAATGCTCTGTGCATAATGACTGCCTTAAAAATAAAAGAACCAATGAACGAAATCACACAAAATTTGGCAAAAAAATGTCTCACAACACAAGGAGTGACCATCACTCAAAAAATTATGATTTTGTCATTTGGGAGTTGTAACTGCTGGGATTTATAGGTCACCTATTTTCAAAGAGCATTCTGGACTCCACCAACGATGAAATTGAACCACACTTGGCATACAGGAATCCCCTGACCAACAGAAAATATTGGAAGGGTTTGGTGGGCCATTGACCTTCAGTTTTGGAGTTGTAGTTCACCTACATCCAGAGACCACTACAGACTCAAACAATGATGGATCTGGACCACACTTGGCACAAGCACTCAATACACCCAAATATGAACACAGATGGAGTTTGGGGGAAATAGACCTTGACATTTGGGAGTTTTAGTTACTGGGATTTATGGTTCACCTGCAATCAAAGCGCATTCTGAACCCCACGAACGACAGAATCAGGGCAAACCTCCCACACACAACCCCCATGACCAACAGAAAATACTTGAGGCCATCCAATCCAGCTCCCTTCATCAGGGCAAGAAAATGTAANTCACCTGCAATCAAAGAGCATTCTGAACCCCACGAACGACAGAATCAGGGCAAACTTCCCACACAGAACCCCTATGACCAACAGAAAAAACTTGGGGCCATCCAATCCAGCTCCCTTCATCAGGGCAAGAAAATGTAATCAAAGTCCTCCTCACAAAGATCCATCCAGCCATAGACATATAGATAGATAGATAGATAGATAGATAGATAGATAGATAGATAGATATGATTCACACACAGAGATATAGTATCATAGATTTGAAAGGGACCCTTAAAGAAGGACAACTATATGTTCCATGTTCCAGGGTGGGCAAACCAGGCACTCTCCAAATCAACACTGACAAAGAAACAGCAAGAAATACTTACCCACAAGCAGAAAGAAATTACATATATTAGAAACCAACACTTTCTCATTACTTTATTTGCCAGATCAACAGACTGGGCCACAGCAACGCGTGGCAGGGAACAGCCAGTACTTTATAATGCAGTACCTGTCATGTGTTGCAATGGATGTACTACTAATAAATGTGTCCATCTGACTGACGATGTTAACTGGGGCTTATAAAATCATAGAGTTGGAAGAGTCCTCATGGGCCATCCAGTCCAATCCCCTGCCAAGAAGCAGGGAAATCGCATTCAAAGCAGCCCCAACAGATGGCCATCCAGCCTCTATTTAAAAACTTCCAGAGAAGGAGCCTCTACCAAACTCCGGGGCAGAGAGTTCCACTGCTGAACAGATCTCATAGTCAGGAAGTTCTTCCTCATGTTCAGATGGAATCTCCTTCCTTGTAGTTTGAAGCCATTGTTCCACATCCTAGTCTCCAGGGCAGCAGAAAACAAGCTTGCTTCCTCCTCCCTGTGACTTCCTCCCACATATTTTTATACATGGCTATCACGTCTCCTCTCAGCCTTCTCTTCTTCAGACTAAACATGCCCAGCTCTTTAAGCTGCTCCTCAAAGGGCTTGTTCTCCAGACTCCTGATCATGTTAGTCGCCCTCCTCTGGACACATTCCAGCTTGTCATTATCTCTCTTCAATTGTGGTGCCCAGAATTGGACACAATATTCCAGGTGTGAGACGCAATATTCCAGGTTATTATTTTTTGGGTAGGCCTTCTATTAGAAGCATCTTAGGTCTTATTTTGGGGAAAACAGGGCGTGCATATTTGCAAAATGTTAATATTCTTGGTTCGTTTGAGGACTGAACCTGTCTTGTTCCTTCTAGGTGCATCACCAGGTCTTTTTACCGGAATGCAGTGGGTGTGCTTTTCATTTTCGACATGACCAACCGAAGGTCCTTTGAGAACATTTTTGAATGGTACAACGAAGTGACCAATGTGATGGACAAAGTCATCTTCCTCCTGGTTGGCCACAAGTGTGACCTTCAGTCGATGAACAGGGTCACCACGGAGGAAGCCCAGGGACTGGCCACTTCTTTGGGAACGCACTTCATCGAGACATCCGCCAAGGATGACATCAATGTAGATTTAGCTTTTGAGACGATCGCCAACACCATCTACGAGGCTCTGAGAACCAAGGAGATTGATTTGCAGGAAGGATGGGACGGTGTGAAAGTCATTCATAAGAGGAGAGCTAGCAGTATACAGAGAAAGAAGCAACCACCATCCAAAGGAAAATGCCAGTGTTGATTCAAGTGGAACATTCAAGCATGGTTCCCAAGAGACAAATGGACAAGACTCTTCTATTGCGGATCTTCTAGACAGAAGCTACAGAAGCCTTATCCAACTGCTCCACTCTAATAGCACCATTCCCTCACTCATCACCAGCCTACTAGAGGGTTACTTTTACAGTTAACTGGTTAGTGGCTTTGTGGAGAAAAAAATCAAAGGCCTCATCTATCCTGTCATATCATGCAGTTTGAACTGGAATACTGTATATGGTCAGTTTTCTTTTTCGTGAGAACTGCAAGTCGCTTCTGGTGTGAGAGAATTGTCCTTCTGCCTGGATGTTTGATGTTTTTACCATCCCTGTGGGAGGCTTCTCTCATATCCCCGCATGGGAAGCTGGAGCTGACAGAGGGAGCTCAATCTTGCTCTCCCTAGATTCAAACTTCCAACTTGTCAGTCTTCAGTCCTGCTGACATAGGGTGACACCCACTGTGTTACGGGGGAGGGGGGGATATCCATATGGTAACTGAACTGGATTATATGTAGACTCATAAGCCAGTGCATAATCCAGTTCAATGCTGCATTCTGGAACTGTATTATATGGCAGTGTAGATGAGGTCCAAGACAGCATAGTTTATGTCACTGATGTAGAAGAGAGAAAGAACACAAAAAAGCATTAGCAATTCTTAAAGCCACTTTAAAAGCTAATCTGTTAATATAAACAGTCCACTGAAATATCCCTCGAAGTTTTAAAATATTTTTGATTGGCAGTGGGATGAATGCGCAGATGCAGTGCTTATAGATAAGAAGGGCCTGCTGTATTTTTTATTCCTTTAGCAGTAGTCGAAGTAGTTTGTAGCAGTTAGTTGATAGGGTAATCATAGCTGTGTGCATGTGGATCATGTATTGTTTTTAGAATTATACAATGTAGGTTTTAGATAATAAGATAGGGCTGGGCTTGAGCACAGCGGGTTAACTACCAGCTGCAGTAAATCTTACCAACTGAAAGGTTGACATTTCAAAGCCTGGATCAGAGTGAGCTCCTGGCCTTTGGCCCAGCTTCTACCTACCTACAAGTTTTGAAAACAGCAATGTGAGGTACCGCTTAAGTGGGAAGGTATTTAAGACACTCATAAGGAAATGCCAGAAAAATGCCAGCGATTCAATCAAGGAGGAAGTTTACAAAGGTCTTTGGCAGGGAAAGTGGAGTGACAGCACCCCCAATGGCCAGAACCAAGCACAGCCTCCATGATGCCGAAGATGGGGAAACCTAGCAATACCTTTATGTACAAGTTGTCTGTCTTGTCAATGAATAGCAGCATTGAATGTTTGCTGCATATGTGTTCTGCTCTGAGTCCCCTTTGAGGTGAGAAAGGCAGAATATATATACTGTAAAAATGTAAAAATAATAGTATTGACACAGAAAAGGAAACACTGCTCGATAGATTTAATTATATTATGCCTGGAGTGGAAAGTTTTGAGGCTGCTGCACTGGCATGGTAACATCGATGGAAACTTGTTGTTGTTTATTTGTTCTGTCGCTTCCGACTCTTGGTGCCCTGCTGGGCCAGCCCAGGCCAGAGGTCCCAGTTGGCCATGGCCATCCCCCAACTCCTTCAAGGTCAGGCTAGTCCCTTTGAGGATCCCCATCCATCCATCTTGCCCTTGGTCAGCCCCTCTTCCTTTTTCCTTTCATTTTCCCTAGCATTCTTTTCTTCTACAGGCTTTCCTGTCTTCTCATTGTGTGGCCAAAGTACTTAATCTTTGCCTCTAATATCCTTCCCTCCAGTGTGCACCTGGGTATTATTTTGTGGAGTATAAACTGGTTTGATCTTCTCGCAGTCCAAAGCACTCTCAGCATTTTCCTTCAGCACCACAGTTGAAAAGCGTCTCTCTTCCTTCGCTCAGCCTTCCTTATAGTCCAGCTCTTGCATCCATAGGATACTACAGGGAATACCATTGCTTTAACTATGCGGCTCTTCGTTGTCAGTGCGGCTCTTTGTTGTCTACTCTTCACTATTTTATCAAGATTGGTCCTTGCTCTCCTCCCAAGAAGGAAGTCTTTTGATTTCCTGACTGCAGTCTGTGTCTGCAGTAATCTTTGCACCTAGAAATACAAAGTCTGTTGCTGCCTCCACATTTTCTCCTTCTATCAATCAGTCTGGTTGCCATCATCTTGTTCTTTTATGTTTAGCTGCCACCCCACTTTTGCGTTTTCTTCTTTCACCTTGATTAGAAGGCTCTTCAGCTCATCCTCGCTTTCAGCTATCAAAGTGGTATCATCTGCATAACTAAGGTTGTTAATGTTTCGTCCAGCTATTTTAACGCCAGGCTTGGATTCGTCAAGCCCTGGAAATGACTTAGATCTATTTGAGGTCCTGACCGGAACAAATGGCTTCCTTGTGAGACAAGCGTACAAAGATGGAAAATACATTAAGACCACACGTTGGTAAAGTTGGGAACTAAAGTTTAGGTGAAAAAGTCAAGATGTGTCATTGTGCTGGTACAGCTGTACCAGAAGCTCCCACTTTATTTGCCTTGTATTAATTGAAGCCCAAGGCTTGGGATTTTGCAGAAGGGTGGCTTCTTGTTAAAGTTTGCAGTTATAGTGCAGGCCCCCTGTCCATCATCGTTAAGTTTGGTTCCGACCCCTGTTCAAGACAACTGAGAAGGGAAGGGAGCCATTTTCAGTCAGTCTCAGCAAGGAAAGTCAATGTACAGGACGTGTACAGACTTTCTCCTGTACAAAGGCTTCAACCCTTAAGACCTCCCGGGGGAGACCAGTCTTAAGAGCAAAAAGATTCCCAAAGATTCCCAGGGAAACAGCCCTAAAGCTCTGAGGAATTTCGGAGGGAAAAACAGCTTTGAATATCAAAGAACTCCAGCTGAAGTGACCACTCAGCTCCACTCGGTAGGTCCACTCGGTGCTTTGAGACGCAGTTCAACCCGGTAGTGGTGCCCACATCAGTTAGGTTTAGGTTCACAGTTAGAATCATAGAATCAAAGAGTTGGAAGCGACCTCATGGGCCATCCAGTCCAACCCCCTGCCAAGAAGCAGGAATATTGCATTCAAATCACCCCTGACAGTTAGCCTGGGAGAAGTTTGGAAAGGGATTTTCCTTTAGAGTAAAAGTAACAGTTAGAAGCCACCAGTTGCACAAAAGCCTGGAAGCATTTGTTTAACCTTTTGAAGACAAAGGAAGTTTCTGTTGATTGTTCACCAATAAAAGACTTTGTTATACTTCACAAGCCCTCTAAAGACTGTTTATGATGAAAATCCTTAAGAATTTCTCTTCGGGCCCCCCTGGCTTCCCACTGGGCTAAAGTTGCACGTCCTGTTTTAAAAGCAATTCATTTCAAGCCCAGTGCGCGACAGAACAGTCATGTTGGCTAGTAGTTGTACAGTAAATTCCACTGAAAGAGCCATGTCTATTGGCTGTTTGACCATATTCAATTGAAATATTATGTTCTATGGGGCCCCAGATGCACGGCAAAATGCACACTGGAGGAAAATACTAATGGCAAATGAGCATGGTGGTTCACTGGAAAAATATATATACTAGGCAATAAGAAAAAAAAATAAAACAAAAAATATACAAGCAACAGTAGTGCCATTTAATAAATATTATATGTACTTTTGGGAAGAGGCGAATGTAATGGACCAAAACAATTGTGTTGTTTTTAAACATACTCTATATCAGGCATGGGCAAACTTCAGCCCTGGTGTTTTGGACTTCAACTCCCACAATTCCTGGCCTTAGGTCCCTTCCTTTCCCCCCTCAGATGTTTAAACAGCTGAGGCAGAAAGGGAAGGGGCCTGAGACCAGGAATTGTGGGAGTTGAAGTCCAAAACACCTGGAGGCCAAAATTTGCCCAACCCTGCTCTACATACTCATATATAATCTATACATTTTAGTCAAGGAATCAAACCCAAACCCAGGGTCGACTTATCCGCGGATCAATGTAAGTATTGTAGCTTAACTCGTAACCCGTAAAGGTAAGAGTTTAGTCAATTCCAGGAGAACCTAAAATTAGCACTAACTCTATGCCGTATGTATGGTCATCTGGAACATTTTGGCATATTCTCTGAATTTTTTTTCTTACAGAATGGTCTTTGAAATTTTAAATTTATTTTTGTCTATCTGTGTTATTAAATAAAATAACAGTATCAAGTAAAGTGTGCTGGCATGTCAAACTTGTTGAAGGCTTTCATGGCAGGAATCACTGGATTCCTGTGATGCTTCTGGAACATGGCTCCCTGGCTATGTTCCAGAAGCATTTTCTCCTGATATTTCATCCACATCTTTGGCAGACATCCTCAGAGGTTGTGAAGTCTTCAGGAGAGAATGCTTCTGGAACATGGCCATGCAGCCCAGAAAACACAGCAACCCGTACCATATTTGCTTGATTCTCACCTTTGGTGGTGGTGGTGGTGGGGATATTGCATTTCCAAAATCAATGTGCGCATTAGATTTGATGGTGTGTTAGAACCATGCACATATACTCAATGGCATGAAAAGGCTTGGAGCAGGCCTGGGCCAACTTTGGCCTTCCCTCCAAGTGTTTTGGATTTCAACTCCCACAATTCTTAACAACCTGGAGAAACCCTGAGAACTCTGGAGGCTGGACAGAAACTTCTCAATCAGTTGAGTCCCTTTTGGGGGAGATAAAGTAGATTATAAATGGAAATAATAATTAATAATAATAATTGGAGGGCCTTGTGAATGACTGTTGGGGATTGTGCAAGGTTGGTGAGTTGGGAATCATGCAAAGCTGGTGAGTGCACCAGCCTTGGCCTGATGGAGGGGCATAGCTTTCCCAATGGCCTCATTCAAGCTGCCTGCCTACCTGATGTGCTATGCCTGTGATGTCGGGCGCATTACACTAGAAGGCGTATCTATCTGTAATGTGCACCTTCAAAATTGCTGTGTGCATAAGATTCAATGGCAGCTTATACTCAAGTAAATATTGTGACACATGCCTTTTTTACCCCTCCAAACATGCACTTACCTGCATATTTTTGGAACTCCAAGGCTGCCAGACATCCATCATTATCACATTGCAACATGCGGCGGAGTGACAACACACCTAACACCTGATCATAGTATGAAGAACTGTTTGGACCCCTCTGAAAATCCCACAACTAGTATGGCTAGTGGCTAGCATGCTTTTAGGATGGAAGAAAGGCTAGTAGTACTGTTTGGGGCTAGTAGTACTGTTAAGCGCCCCTAGGCTACAGGGCAACGTATAATTGTAGCACTGCATGAGACAATTATAAGGCACCCTCTTTAATAAATGTGAGTACATGCCATGGGAAGGAACAATTTAATAATATAAATTCTTGGTTGTTGTAGGTTTTTTCGGGCTATATGGCCATGTTCTAGAGGCATTCTCTCCTGACGTTTCACCTGTATCTATGGCAAGCACCCTCAGAGGTAGTGAGGTCTGTTGGAACTAGGAAAATGGGTTTATATATCTGTGGAATGTGGAATGACCAGGGTGGGACAAAGAACTCTTGTCTGCTGGAACTAGGTGTGAATGTTTCAACTGACCACCTTGATTAGCATTTGATGCCCTGGCAGTGCCTGGGGAAATCTTTTGTTGAGAGGTGATTAGAAATAAATAAATAAATATTAGATGTCCCTGATTGTTTTTCCTCTGTTGTTTTGCTGTTGTAATTTTAGAGTTTTTTAAATACTGGTAGCTAGATTTTGTTCATTTTCATGGTTTCCTCCTTTCTGTTGAAATTGTCCACATGCTTGTGTATTTCAGTGGCTTCTTTGTGTAGTCTGACATGGTGGTTGTTAGAGTGGTCCAGCATTTCTGTGTTCTCAAATAATATGCTGTGTCCAGGTTGGTTCATCAGGTGCTCTGCTATGGCTGACTTCTCTGGTTGAAGTAGTCTGCAGTGCCTTTCATGTTGATTCGTGTTTGGGCAATGCTGCTGCTTATGGTGGTCCCTATGTAGACTTGTCCACAGCTGCATGGTATACGGTAGACTCCTGCAGAAGTGAGAGGATCCCTCTTGTCCTTTGCTGAATGTAGCATTTGTTGGATTTTCTTGGTGGGTCTGTAGATAGTTTGTATGTTGTGTTTCCTCATCAGCTTCCCTATGTGGTCAGTGGTTCCCTTGATGTATGGCAAAAACACTTTTCATCTGGGTGGAACTTTGTCTTGACTCTCGTGGCTTGTTCTCGGTCTTGCAGCTCTTCTGATGTCTGAGGTGGAGTATCCATTGGCCTGTAGAGCCCAGTTGAGGTGGTTCAGTTCATCTTGGAGGAGGTGGCACGGTCTGCCAAGGCTTTAATGGTGCTTCTTTTTTGACTTGGGTGATGGTTGGAGTTTTTATGTAGATATCTGTGTGTGGGTTTCATGTAAACTGTGTGACCCAATTGTTGATCTGGTTTGCGGATGATTAGGACATCTAGAAAAGGCAGTTTTCATTTTCTTTTGCCATTGTGAATTGGATGTTTGGGTGGATGCTGTTAAGGTGGTCCAGGAACCTGTTTAATTCTTCTTCTCCATGGCTCCAAATGGTGAAAGTGTCATCCACATATCTGAACCATATAGTGGGCTTTTTTGTTGCTGGGTTATTGTAGGTTTTTTTGGGCTATATGGCCATGGTCTAGAGGCATTCTCTCCTGACGTTTCGCCTGCATCTATGGCAAGCATCCTCAGAGGTAGTGAGGTCTGTTGGAACTAGGCAAAAGGGTTTATATATCTGTGGAATGACCAGGGTGAGACAAAGGACTCTTGTCTGCTGGAGCTAGGTGTGAATGTTTCAACTGACCACCTTGATTAGCATACAATGGCCTGACTGTGCCTGGGGCACACTTTTGTTGAGAGGTAATTAGAGGTCCTTGTTTGTTTCCTCTCTGTTGTTGTGCTGTTGTAATTTTAGAGTTTTTTAATACTGGTAACCAGATTTTGTTCATTTTCATGGTTTCCTCCTGACTTTGGAACTCATTGCCTGGCGAGATTAGGTAAGCCCCCTCCTTAGAAACCTTTAAGAAGGACCTTAAAACCTGGCTCTTCTGCTGTGCCTTCTGAGAGTAACCGCACAATTAGACATTACTGCTCCCCTTTAACATTTATTCCTACAATACACTTCCCACGCTTGTATGAAGGCATGTCAGGAGAGAATGGCTCTAGACCATGATCATATAGCCCGAAAAAACCTACAACAACCCAGTGATTCCAGCCATGAAAGCCTTCGACAATACATTTTTGTTGCAGTTTCCAGGGCTTGTTTTTCAAAGTGTTCCATGTAGAAATTAGCTATGACCGGACTGAGAGGGCTCCCCATAGCTACTCCATCTTTCTGTTCGTAGAGTTCATTGTTAAATTCTTGTTGGCAGGAATAATGAGAAGAACTTGCCAAATTCTCACCTGGGACAGGGCAAAAGGGCCATGGGTCAAATGGTTCCAAAACAAGAAGTACAGTAGCATCTTAGGAGGAAGCCTAGATTGCTCCCAAACATCCCCCTGGATGGGGAAACTAAGGAGCATATTCAAATTGGGAATTCAAATATGCAAAGATATGCTACAAATCCCTGAAGCACAAAATTATCCTTTATCAAAATTCATGGAAACACTTTGAAAATAGAGAAGGCATTTGTATACTTGTTTATTATTGTAATTTAAGCAGTTGGGAGAATTTCATGAAGTGTCAGGAGCAGGGTGAGCCATAGCTGGGTGGCTCAAAACAAAGTGAACACATCCTTCAGGCGCTGAATACAAGAGATGCATATCAGGCAGTCATTAAGTGGCTCTGCTATTACTTTGGATTGCTGATTGTGCAGCACCTTTACTATTACAGTTCAGTCTATCAAGTGTGAAGGGTGGTTTATTTTTAAAGCTAACAGCAACAAGGAACAATGCAAGGTATAAAAACCCAGCTAATGCATGGTGTTGTTCAAGCATCAAAATCAAAAGTGATAATCCATTTCCCACCAATTTGACCCTGCTTGTAATTTTAAGTGTGCTTTTGGATTTGTAATGCTTGCTGACCCAGATACCAGTGACTAATTTGAAGATTTTTCAATCAGTTCTCAAGGGATAAGAAAGCTGCAGGTTTATATAACACAGCAGCATGTAACTATCTGTCAAGACATTAAGCATAAGTCACAATGAGAAAAAAAAACAGCCCTGCAAGTTGCATCAGTACTTCCCCACTGATCTTTTGCTCTGAGCCGATCACAGATGGAGTTCTATTGCATCTTTGGAGGTAGAAAGGCTTGCAATATAAGAAGAATTAAAATTTATTTTTCCTACACGTGGAGCATTAAAAGAGGGGACAGGGAACTACTTGTAATCATCAGCCCTTTCCCTGGGGCCACCCTGAAGCACATGTCTTTTTGGAGTTGGTGTCAATATTATTACCTAGTTTAGATTGATAATTTCTTTACCCCAAAATCAAATATCTATAACCAGCAACATTACAAACAAATAAAAGGGAAATGAAAACAACTATAGCCATTTCTAATACTGTTCCCAAAATACCAAAATATTCTGTCCTTTGGACAATCACAACATAAATCACTTTGAAGACAGAAAATAAAGTCTGTGTTTCAAGATATATTGTGTTGTTTTGGAGAAATACAGAGGGGAGGGAGAACTGAATGACTCTGGGCAGCTCTCCTTCCAAGCTCAGATACTGCTGCATTCTTAAAGGTTAGGCTTCTCTGCAAAGCATGGAGAAACAAAATCCCATGGAGGATGTCATAGACACTTGACAGCTTGAAAGGCAGATTCCTACTCCCCAGCAAATCCATTTTCATTTTAGCCATTTTGGCCTTCCTGTCACTCTCAGGCATTATTTTTTGGTTGTTTTGCGGATCAGTGCCATCCTCTGGAAAAAAGAGAGAGAGAGTCAGGAACATGGTCTTTCAGGAAGCAAGCTTTTTCAAGAGAGAACAACAATATTCATGAGGCCATGATCTGTGCTGAAACAGGGTGCAAGCAGCGTCTAATCCTCTTTCCAATACAGCCTGGAAAAAAATATTACTGTATTTCATTGCAAAATAGTCACTATGCAAAATTGTTATTTTCCTCACATAATAGACGCAGAGTAATTTGGGGCTGATTCCCCCTTCCTTTCTTCCAGTCCCTTCCTTCTTTCCTTCTCCGAAGGCAAGGCAGTTTAAAAACTGTGAAATGGAGGTCTCTGGGACTTGGATCTTCCCTACCTCCTTTTTCCAAAGAGATTTTGTACATTGCCTTCCTTTTGGAGAAAGAAGGAAGGAAGTGGGAATCTTTCCTCCTCCTAAGCAAAGTGTAAAAGATATCCCAGGAAAGATCACATCGCCGTGCCACCAATTATAATGAATATCACACCAAGGAACTTCTTTTAGCAGGGAGAAGGAACAGGGAATTTTGAAATAGTGAATCCTACAAGCTGCCAAACTTTATAAGGAATATCACAGGAGGGAGATTGATAAAACGGGGAAAGATATAACTGTGTATAGCTATATTTGAATGATGTCTGAACTGAGAGGTTTTGTAACTGTTTCTTCAATTGGGGTATGCTGCCACTTTTTCTTAGTATTCAGGCTGAGTTATATGTGTGGAGAGGATACTTAGTGACACCCTTCTGGGTTACTATGGTGTTTATTTTCCTTAGAGGGTTTAAATACCAATGACGTTCACACACAGGCTGTTGTAATGTGTTAACTATAATAAAACGTTTATTTAACAGGCTTAAAGTCTTCTGGTATAAATGCGTAATGGTTTCTGTAAGTGAATGGCACAAAAGCTTTTTGGTTACGTTTGATGTACAATTTTTAGATGGGTACTGGGTTCAAATCTAGAGTTAACAAACAGGAGATTATCTCAGGAAACTAATCTCTGATGATAATTCCAATCCAAATTCCCACTTTCTGGAATCTAGCCAAACAACCTTGGCCTAGCCTTCCTCAGGAATAAAAGAAACAGACAATAAGCAGGGTCCTGTTCCTACTGACAGTATTCCTGGCTAATTCCTCTAGCCCTTGAATACTACAAAAGTTTAACCCAATTCTCCTATCTAGCACTATCCAACTGTGAACGCCAACCGACTACCCAACTCCCAACTAACAAAACCAACTGCCAAAACACGTCTCAAAATTCAAAAAGTACATTTTTTCCCCTCTATTGGAATGTTAGGCTCCGCCCCTTATTCCTAACCAATCCTGGCCATCTACTCTTTGCTTACTGGACTAGGACACACGCCCTCTAAGAAAACCTGACCTAAGATGGCGTCTCCCTGTTTCCCTATCCTAAGATGGCTGCCAGGGCTTCGCTAAGCCCACCTTCTAACTGTTTAGGCTGCTAGGCCTCGCTAGGCCCACATTCTGGCTGCTAAAGGTAAGGGTTCTTCACACAAGGCAATTTGAAAAAGCAAATAAACAGAAACTGAGCTATTGGTTTGAGGCTCCTTCTCCCTCCTCTTTCTCCAGTCTCAGAGGCAAAGCAGTTAATTCTTTTTAAAAAACAGAAACCAGAAACTCAAAGGCAGATTTTTTAAATTGCGTAATAGTCGCACCCCCCACCCTTTTAATAAAAAGGGAATAAAATGTGTGCTTATCATGAAATGAAATACAGTGTGTCACTGACGCAAAACTGCTATGTGCCCTAGGATCTAGGTACAAGTGTTTGTTTCCTTCCACAACTGGTAGCAACTCTAGGGATCCCCCTATCCATATATGGAGCGGGAAATGGTACAGGGGAAGGGTTTTAGCTTGTTAGCCGAGTCTCTGCCCGACCTTTCCTCCAAGGAACTCAAAGCAGTATACATGGCTCTCCTCTCTATTATCACAACAAGCCTAGCAGAATGATAAGAGGACTGGCACAAGGTCACATGGTAAGTTCTATGTGTGGATCTCATGGTTTAGTCCAATATTCCAACCATTTTTTTTGGGTCATGTCAGGAGTGACTTGAGAAATTGCAAGTCACTTTTGGTGTGAGAGAATTGGCCATCTGCAAGGATGTTGGCCAGGGGACGCCTGGATGATTTGATGTTCTTATCATCCTTGTGGGAGGCTTCTCTCATGTCCCCGCATGAGGAGCTCGAGTTGATAGAGGGAGCTCATCCGCTTCTCCCCAGATTCGAATCTGCGACCTGTCGGTCTTCAGTCCTGCCGGCACAGGGGTTTTAACCCACTGTGCCACCGGGGGCTCCTATTCCAACCATGACATTTCACTATTTTTAATTAATTACTGCAATAGTCATTGAAAGTCACTGAAGAATTTGGATCCCCTGTCTTGGTCTCAGAGACTCACACATGAGTTCTATTTCCTTTCGTTTGGCATGGACAAGCAGGTTATCTCCAGGTCAGCCATACTGTGTGAGTCTCAGTGACCACAAAGCAGAATCACTTCCTTACCTGTAACTATGGCTCTTTAGATGGCCCTCTCTAAACTTCACACAACCCACCTACCTTCCCACTATGGCTGCCTTTGCTCCATCTATGTTGTTAACTCCTCCTGGGTGTTGAAGTGTATGGTATCTGAGGAAAAGTGCTAGAGTGCCAATGGGCCATGTTCTAGAGCAGGGCTTCTTAAACTTTTCCATTCGGGATCCCTTTTGGCCCAAGAATTTTTTACATGACCCCCAGGTATACAGGTATATAAGAGGCATAAAAACCCAACATTTACTGATAACATATCAACATTCGCCAGACTTGCTAAACAAGCTGATTTTCCTTTTTACGAAGTACAGCTGAAGTGTCTTCTCCAGAGTCCACTATAAACACTGTGCAACAGATTCGTGCAAATGTCTAAAACAGTGGGGTTCAGAAAATTTTTCAGTGCTGCCAATTGTTTGGAACACCCAACATTGAGCTAAGGAGACCCAATTTGGTGTTGGACCCACATTTTACAAGAGAATGCTGGACTGGGGCAGAGAGAGTTCCACTGCTGAACATCTCTCTCTCACAGTCAGGAAGTTCTTCCTCATGTTCCTCATGGTACCGAGACAGTCTTGGTCGCCTTAGTGGATGATCTGCGCCGGGAGCTCGACAGGGGTAGTGTGTCCCTGTTGGTGCTGCTGGANTCCTCTGGACACATTCCAGCTTGTCAATATCTCTCTGCAATTGTGGTGCCCAGAATTGGACACAATATTCCAAAATCTCCTCTTGGAGATGGATGGGGTGGCTGGAGGCATTTTGTGCCATATGTAAGCCAACTCAAGTCCCTTCAGGGAGATGGAGGCAGGGTACAAAATAAAGTTGTTGTTCTTGTTCTTGTTGTTCTTGTTGTTGTCGTCATCATCACCATCATTATCATCTTCACCTCAGAGAGGTAGCTGGCCAATTTAAGCCTAGAATTGGTCTTTTAAAGAATAGAAAATGCACAATAAATTGATTATGTTCAAGTCTTGTTAATGGCCCACGTAAGCTAAAACATGGTGATGATGCTTCCAGTGTTATCTAAAAGAGTGTCTGAGAACCTTTGGGAAACACCCATTTTGTATTTCGTTTGCAGAGGAGGCTGATCCTTTAATGGTTTCCTGAGAAGTCAGAGCATCTCCCAGTCTTCCATGCTGGCTCACTCATTTATTATGTTCTTAATTCTATAAACCCAGACATTTCCATAGGTACGTTGTGCATCTACACTGTAGAACAAATGCAGTTTGACACCACTTCTGCTGCCAGGGTTCAATGCTATAGAATCCCGGGTACTGTCATTTTCCAAGGTCTTTAGCCTTCTCTCCCCAACTACAACTCCCCAAATTCCATAGCACTGAGTCCTGTTAAAATGGAGTCAAACTGCATTTATTCTACAGTGTAGATGTGTCTGTAGGTAGAGATATAATCCAAGATCTTATATTTCAATTGCTACGTATATCGCCATTTGGGAATATGCACATTGATTGTGCTGCTGAATGCTTGGTCAAATGGCAATGCAGTGGGCATTAATATAAATGTATCTGAGTGCACAAATGAATATGGAGCAACTGAATGCACAACCAAATATGCCTTCAGATGGTTCAGATGGAAAGTGCTAACTCCTTTCGTAAGAAAGTTTACACTTTTAAAGTCTCCAATATGATTTCACCCTATTTCCAAGTTTCTTATCTCCTTCTGGGCTGCTTCTTCCATGGATTGCCTTTGACTTGCAACATGTGCTGCTACCTAGCTTGGTTTTAATGTGTTTAGACAGTAAATAATATTTTTGTCCTGTCTCACATTTGAAAATATTTCATTTTTACATGAATTTTGTATACATTATTCCATGATCTATACACTGCCATATAATGCAGTTTGGAACATCAGTATATGGTCAGTGTAGACTCATGTATGATAAGAAACAAATTCTTATCATGTATGATAAGAAACAAATTGGTATGATAAGAAACAAAGATGGCAGGGACCTAACAGAAGCTGAAGAGATCAAGAGAAGGTGGCGAGACTATACAGAAGATCTGTATAGGAAGGATAATAATATTGAGGATAGTTTTCACGGTGTGGTGAATGAATTAGAACCAGACATCCTGAGGAGTGAGGTTGAATGGGCCTTAAGAAGCATTGCTAACAACAAGGCAGCAGGAGACGACGGGATCCCAGCTGAACTGTTTAAAATCTTAAAAGATGATGCTGTCAAGGTGATGCATGCCATTTGCCAGCAAATATGGAAAACACAAGAATGGCCATCAGACTGGAAAAAATCAACTTATATCCCCATACCAAAAAAGGGAAATGCGAAAGACTGCTCAAACTTCCGTACAGTGGCCCTTATTTCTCATGCCAGTAAGGTAATGCTCACGATCCTGCAAGGAAGACTCCAGCAATACATGGAGCAAGAGCTGCCAGATGTTCAAGCTGGGTTTAGAAAAGGGAGAGGAACGAGAGACCAAATTGCCAATATCCGCTGGATAA